TCCTATTTTGTAAATGTGGATTTGGCTATGTATTCTCAATGTGATGCTTCGTTAATGGGAAAAAATACTTGAAAGTGATCTTAAAGTTGATTCGGTGACGTCACTACGGTAATGTACCAGAATGGAAATCATGCAACCGACATCACTCGTGCCGCAGCTTCGGTGACGTCAGACTTGAAAGTATTTTTTCTCATTCATGAAGCGTAAATGTCATATGGGACAAGGCCAGGACACACAGGTGTGGGTTCCATCTTTACGCAAGTTCGAGAACAAACCAGACTCAGGTGAGCCACATTGGCGAACACTCTTTATGATAAATGATAGGCGAGTTAGGGGCGTGGTGGGACGACGTCATCACGAGTCGAGCACGTGGCCCCCGCGGAACCTGAAGAATAATCGACGGTCACGTGATCACGCCCGTTCGTCAGTGCTGGATCACGTGACAAGTTCGCATTCGAGGTACGACCTAGTGGCTGACATTGTCATCATAATGCTAATACTGCAATGATAATAATATGGATAATAAATGCATACCAGTCAACCCCTTATCAGTGCCTACCTTATTACAGACCAATTCAGACCTTATTTGTCACCCCGTGCCCTTATACATCTCAACGTTCATCCTACAAAGTCCCATCACAAGGGAGAAACACAAACAAATAGACACAAAATATGTTTTTCCCAAATTGAAACGGCTATACGCCGTGTGGACCTGAAAACTCAATTTCCTTGTGCAAGAAAACGGGTAAACCATATGGGTTGACATGTATGTAAATGTGTAAAATATATACCGTAGGTCTTCTTATTCAAATAAATTCCAACTTTTTTTTATCAGGTTACATCATGAGATGAATAATTATATTCGGAATTTTCATTGAGCGGTGGGTGGACCCATCTTGTTTGACATCAGACACTACCATAAAATGCCTCTTGAAACCAAACTCAATTGAATTGAAATTTAGGGGTAAAGTCAGAAAGGCTGTACAAATAAATATAAAATTTCGATTTAAAGCTTTCGTGACTGCAGAGATTCATCTTCTTGGTTCTTTCGGTTAAGTCACGTAGAAGGGAAGTAATAAAATAATAAAAATAAAACATAATAAAATAATTCTCACAACGTTTCAGGCCACAACGCAAGCAGCCGTCCTCAGGTGAAGACCAGGTCTGTCGGGGAGACAGAGTCTGAATGGTGTTTCATTCAGACGCTGCCTGGTGTTTCATTCAGACTCTGTCTTCTCGACAGACCTGTTCTTCACCTGAGGACGGCTGCTTGCGTTGTGGCCGAAACGTTGTGAGAATTATTTTATTATGTTTTATTTTTATTATTTTATTACTTCCCTTCTACGTGACTTAACCGAAAGAACCAAGAAAATAGATATTAGTTTAAAAAATTTGTACTCTGTTCGCGCACTATTTATGCTGCACGCAGTGGTGGACACAGCACTCTGCAGTCACTCCGCTTGCATTGATGTACCACCACATCATTATGCGGTGGTGATGGTACACGTACACTGTATTCTCCTTGGATATCACTATTCACTCAAAAATATAATAAAAGTAAAAGCTGTTGAAAATTACGTTTATAGAATTGAAGAAGTAAAAGTTTAATTTATATTACACATACGTGAAATAAATTCAATCCTTTTAATTTTCGATTTAAAGCTTTCGTGACTTCAGGGATTCATCTTCTTGGTTCTTTCGGTAAAGTCACGTAGAAGGGAAATAATAAAATAATAAAAATAAAACATAATACAATAATTTTCACGATGTTTCGGCCACAACGCAAGCAGCCGTCCTCAGAATTATTTGATTATGTTTTATTTTTATTATTTTATTATTTCCCTTCTACGTGACTTTACCAAAAGAACCAAGAAGATAAATTCAATCCTGTTGAAAAAATCTTTCCAGGCTTCCACATTCAGCGAATCTCAGCCTTCCACCTTTGCTTTATGGTGACGGTTACTTGGCTTAATCAATACAGCAGCGAGTTTTATGTGATATTAAATTACAAATATTAAACTGTAAATATGTATTTGTTATTACATCATAAAGTGGGAGTGAATGTTCATGTTATTTACGTGTAAATGTAATATAAACGTGATAATTTAGCATGACCTAATTACTGTATTTTGTCAATATTCCAAACTTCCCCTATAATCCGGCTTCAAGATGTTTTACTGCGTTTCTAAGGTCCCTTCAATTGCTAGGTAGTGCACCTTCTCACATGGCTTGCCTTTGGATTTGTAATCCCCCGAGGGCACCGTTACGTTGCAATCATTTGTTATTGTCCACACAGATGGAATTTAGTTCAGTAGTTGTGAACCTGTGAGTGCCCCCCCCCCCTTCTATGGGAGTGTGAAAGTGGAGGCTGGGCTACTTTTGGGGGGGGCCATACCAAAAAGGTTGAAAACCATTCATGCAGCTAAATAAAGTTACTGCGCTTGAGAATCCATTTAAGCACAGGTGGCAGAGTGTCCTGTGCCACCCAGGCACCGAGACAAAGTACCCACATTTTTTTTAAAAACATAAGTGATAAATGTTTAATTCAAAGAATGTATAGCACTATAGCCCTTTGCCAATCCACTGCTGGATGAACGCGTCCCCATGCCATGTTGGTCATAAGGCTATTTGCCCATACTTCACCGTGCCGGTCAGTGCGGGATGGTGAAGGGGGCAGGGTTCAGGACCTATTCACAGTTGGTGAACCAATGCACCAGTATCCCAACATAAGTGATATTGTAACACAAAATAAAGAGGTAAAAACAGAGGTAGGGTTCAGGCCTACGACTGCCTGCTCAAGCCACTGCTCGCAGAAGGACCTCCACTATGGGGACTTCCAGGGAGCCCCACGAGAGGGGACTTGGGTTTCCTCTTCTATGCTTGCCATACGTTGTTGTAGAGCAGCGGTGGGGAACCTTCTTTCTGCTAAGGGCCATTTGGATATTTATAACATTATTCGCGGGCCATACTAAATTATCAACTTAAAAATTAGCCCGTTATATTTGGTCAAACATTTAATTAACTCACCCCTAATGCGATGGCTGGAACTGCTTCTCTTTGGCGAGGCGTGTGATGTTAGCCGGTATTGACGATGTTGCTGCTACCCGCAACTGTTTTGCCAGGTTTGCTCCTAGATTTATTGAATTTCGAGTCCCGCCTGCAGTTGCCTTGGCAGGGCCACACCAAATGATTTCGTGGGCCTCATACGACCCGCGGGCCGGACGTTCCCCACCCCTGCTATAGAGGATTCCGTACCCACACTTTACCTCATCACACGTGTCCTGCCAATTGACTGTGGTGGTGTACCCATTGATTACAGCATCCATCCAGCAGTGTTATATATGTTAACGCCGTTTTAGCAGAACCGAGTATAACATTAAACTCACTACTGGTGTCTCAAACGAGCGTTAGTGACCGCGAGTCGGTGCTCGAAATTCCATATTGCGATGGCGAGGGCCAAACCCGTTTATCAAAATGGGGAATATTTTATCACTGAACAGAAAATTGTAAAATATCATTGCAGTATTACTACATTACGTTTTGGGTATCAAGATATAACTAAATTGTGTTTGATGCAAACCTTGATTCAAATGTATTCGATGGTAGTGGACTATCAATCAACCGAGTGATTTATTCGAGATGCCAATTAAGCGGACGTCCGTGTCACCGCCGATTATTGCGGCAAATTTACATTGCCAGGCCGATAAATCGAGCGTTCGAGCACTCCGCGCGATTAATCGACTGCTGAGCCCTCACGCTCAGGGTGATCCATCGAGCAACTTGGCTTGCCCAGAGAGATTAATCGACCGTCAGCCGAGTTCATGAAACTGCAGAGCCCAGCACATTCAGGTCAATTAATCAAGTTATTGAGTCAAAGTAACTCAGGTCCAATAAATAAAAAGCCGAGTTTCTTTAATACCCAACCAGATTAAATCGAGCCACCGAGCTGGTCAGAGTAACCACCAATTGTGCATCTAAAGCCACTCATGGTGGCTGCTGATAACTCCGAGTGGAACGGCCCTCTCCGTGTGTGGCTTGTAACGCCGTACAAGGGCTGGTGGGGGATAAGAAATTACCGGCCTTAACGTTTCTGACATCGGCCAGTCGTTAAGCCCATTCATGACGCACTTGTCCGAATTTTACCAATATTCTCTGTTCACAATTTTCATGCTGCCAATGACTCGGAATCACAAAATGTGTGCCTCGTAGTGGCTTGTTCGCGATTACTGGAGAAAATTTGAGTAGTCCTTCTTCAACCTCATTCAGACCAGGATCCAGTTTCATAAAAAAATAAACCTGAAGTGTTAACATTCCCCTTTGCATTGACTCAGAGGAAACTAAAGGCTACGTGGATCCACAAGGTCAATGTTCTCGGAAATCGTCAGCAAACATCGCCAGTAATGATCCATTAACCACGAGCAACTTGTTTGGCAATGGAATGAAGTGAAAGAGTTCTCAGCCAATCAAAGTAGACTTTGTTGAAGAGTGCGTTTTGCTCAATGATAGGTCTACATACTATAAATTAATCCGCAGACATTAATCTGCTGAAATCGCTCAAGGATCCATCATGGTCCATAACAGTATTACTACATGATAACATAAAACTGTCACACATTCACTTCCAGATCCCACTCATATACTCAACTGAAGTCTCTTGTTTGTGATCTGATTGGAAGCTGCTGTCCCAACTGCCCAGGAGGGGGGCAAGCTGCAGTCAGCTTTGTTTAGATTATCCAGCAACTACGTTTTTACAAAAAGAAATGCCGGGGTAACCATTGCCGCCTCTGATTGCTGGTAATTATTTCTCTAAACTACCACGATGGATTATTGCCTGAAAGGGAAATGTTAAAGCACTTAAAGCCATTTTATGCAACCAATGATGGATTAACTGACCAATTGGCTTCCATAAGTTATTCGATGCTCCCTTTGCAGCTCCAGTCGATTAATCGATTGTCAGAGTGGGGCCGGGGCGAGGAAGCGATGGCCGGGCGAGGCCGCACCTTTGAGTCCCCGCCCCCGCTCCCGCACTCGCCCTTATCAAACCACCACTTGTTCTTTAGTTTGTCCAGGAGGCCCTGCTCGTTGAGCTTTAGCACAGCCAGGTTCACGGCACTCCTTGAGCCACCGCGCGGCAGGGAGACAATAATAATCATCATCACCATCATCATTACTCACGGCCGAACGATGTGGCCATCATCATGAGCATCGTCAATCATCAGACTGAACACGGTTATTGTCATACACATCGTCTTCATCACCACATTTCATTGGCTACATGAACATGATTGCAAATCCAAGTGTGGTTTTCCAGGTCGGGCTGTGGCTTGTTGAACCACGCACTATTATGGGCATCTAATTCAGCTCGTGGTAAATTCCTGCAGTGAATGACGAAAGCTTTCGTGAATACATTCTTACCGTGCAATGCAACCCTGAAAACCACACTTGAATTATGAGTGGCTACGAAAACTTACTTTTGTTGAAATGACCGTAAATATCATAATCGTCACTGCCAGTAAGTAATATAATAAACATGTCCTGTACGACCAACAGTCATCATCCCTTTCAGTGATGCGTACTGCCCAAGCCCACTTACTTTTTTGAACAGACACCTTGTTCTCCATGTTGTTTGTCAGTCCACGTGTTTCAGATACATTTCATGACCAGCAATATCCACTAATTGAAAACATTACTTCGTCAAATGTACCGTACGTCTGTAGAACTTCTTTCCCACTGTACATAGCCAACCGTGCTAATCGAAGGTTGTACATAGAACAGGACACCTGATGCAGCAAGTGATGAAAAGGAAACATACACTATTTGGACACATCTGTAGGATGGACAACAACAGGAATATTAAAAGTGTGTTGTTCGGAAAAATTGAAGGAACCGGAAAGAGAGGAAGACCTAACAGAGAATGACTTGACGACATAAGAGGTTGGTGCCAGAAAGATGCACACTACTTGAGCATATTGGCACAAGACAGCGGAAAGTGGAATCAAATGATGACATTTGCAGTGGACACCTATGGGCTATTTGCCGATGGATCGTGATAATAATGCTGTTTCTTATAGCACTCCGTTTACCAAGAATGTATCCTGAGCACTATAAGAGATATGCCTGTAGTCCATTGCCATTCCTTGTTTTAAAGACTCATTTGGCTAGCGAATAGGAGATGGGTCCATGCTTTAACCATTTATCATTTAATACATTTTCTTTCCGCCATACAGTATCAGAATAGGTGATAATTTCAATGAATGCTGCAGCCTCTTCTTCTTGGTTTTTTCGGTAAAGTCACGTAGAAGGGAAGTAATAAAATAATAAAAATAAAACATAATAAAATAATTCTCACGACGTTTCTGCCACAACACAAGTAGCCGTCCTCAGGTGAAGACCAGGTCTGTCGAGGCGACAGCGTCTAAAAGAAACCACCACCATGCTTGGAGCGTCTATTTAAGCTTAGAGTCGCTCCAAGCGTGGTGGTGTTATTTTAGACGCTGTCGCCTCGACAGACCTGTCTTCACCTGAGGACGGCTACTTGTGTTGTGGCCGAAACGTCGTGAGAATTATTTTATTATGTTTTATTTTTATTATTTTATTACTACTTCCCTTCTACGTGACTTTACCGAAAGAAACAAGAAGATGAATCCCTGCAGTCACGAAAGCTTTAAATCGAAATGTTATTATGTTTTATTTTTATTATTTTATTATGTTTTATTTTTATTATTGTATTACTTCCCTTCTACGTGACTTTACCGAAAGAACCAAGAAGATGAATCCCTGCAGTCACGAAAGCTTTAAATCGAAATTTACATTTTTTTAACCTGTTGAACCATGCACTCAAGATACCAGGATAAATATAATTTGTAAGTGTGACTTGGGGAATATTTTCCAGTTGGGCGTGATGTTTTTTAAGTAGATCAACCAAGTATTTAAAACAAATGCAATATACAAACATTTAATTTTAACCTAATCGTGCTGTCTCTGATTGCTGGTAATTATTGTGACTCGGCCAAGATAAACTCCTACAATCAGCATTGCACCATCGCATTAGAAAACACTCCCATGAGAACTACTTACGCTCTCTTCACTCGGTCTTATATGTAACACTGGAGAGTGAGATTGCCACGATGTTTAATGATACGTTACAATATTACATTCCACAATGTTATCAGTTTTGCCTCATTTTGTAATGTTGTTTCATATTTTTCCTTGTATTGTGTTTGTTTGCTTCAAAGTTATTCAACTGCAGTTCACTGAACATAAGCTGGCACAAACCTTTTAATAATTTGCAACTTTATATATTTATAACGTACATGCTATCAGAAAATGATGCAGTCATATAATAAATAAACCATTAATTACTCCAACTTTTTTTTACGAAACGCTAATTTAATAGTCAAATGCTATTTATTTAGCTTGAATTACTCCTTTGAACTTTGATCATTGTAATTGAATAAACATTTTCACAAAATGAAATAAACATTGAATGAGCTACGATAATTACAACACGACAGCAGTTAGCCACATAGATATCATTATCGTGAATTGCATATTGTATGATGTATCTTAGTATCGTGGTAACTCTACAGGATTGATGTTTATTCAAACTGATATTTTCTTTTTTAATCAAGAACTGCACAAAGGTCCATTGCATACACTTCTTTTAAGCTACACTTCATCTTTGCCAGCATTGTGGAATTGTAAATGAATACACTATCCAATGACTGACATTCGGTAAACCACTCTTGACCTGCCGTGGACTTCTATCTAATGTTGGGTGACAGAACGCGATTGAAGTGCCATGTATTTAAGCAGTGTGGATATGTCACCTTCCGAGGTCATTCTCTGACACGACAATGTGAATCCCTGCCACCTGCGAAGTTCTTGAACGGAAGTTTATTCATCCCCTGATTTCACTGACAGAACTATGAGGATAATATAGACTCTTTGTTAATTGCACCAAGTGTGCAAGTAAATTAAACTGACTGTGGGAAATAAATTGGTTCAAATGGTGACACTGGGAGGGTGGGGGAGGGGGAGGTGGGCCAAACATAGTGTAGGGAAGGATTGATCTGCTAAATTATGAAGAGGGTGAAGAATGGGCCGAGTTCATTCAGGGAGACAGTGCTGGCTGCTGAAGGAGACAATGGTTTCACAGAAACGCAAGTACATGTGTGCTGTTAATGAAAGCAAGATTAACTGAAGCATAGTTAATGTTTCGTCTGCTCTGCTGTTCACGTTAAAATCCAAAACCCTTAAACAATACAGATTCCAAAGAACACAGGATGAGATGTTACTATCCTTTGTGCAAGCACTTCCAAGAGTTCATGAACAGCGAGCCTGGTGAAATTTGGGGAGCGCATCGTCAGTAGTGACCCTTTGGTTCCTAGGGTGTTTCGGCCTTTCATACTATACACCCTCCCCAAAGGCGGCCAGCGACAGGGTGATCAATCCTACGCTTGCGTCCCATTCCCAATTAGTCATAGGAGTTGCCTTGTTGTTGGTAGCCAACATCCCACAACTGCTAAACAATCCAATGGGAGTTGGGGGGGGGGGGTTATTGTAGAGGACACAGGAGTGTAGGTCTCACCGGAGAAACGATCGCTTCGGGGTGCCGATTCCATAGCCCTTGGAGTCGAGGTTGCCGCCAACCTTCATGGTGTCGCACGGCTTGCGCTGCTCGATGTACTCATTGGTCGTGGACTCGAGCAGGTACGCGTACTTGCCCTTAGATCTGCGCACACGCGCCACCCCCTCCCCGGTCTTCTTCACAAAAACGGACGGCTCCGCAGCGCGCATGTAGTGCCACATTGTCTCGTACACAGAAATCTTGGAGCGCTGGCGAGAGGGAGCGTAGGTAGAGTGGGAGGGGAATGAGAAGAAAGGTGGTGGATCTCTTTTATTATTTGTTTGCACGTTTTATTTGAATCTCTAATTCGAGTCCAACTGCACCATCATTGTCCCATTACAGAGACGAAGATATTTCCACGCACAACTGTGACAGCGAGCAGCGCACGTTTCACCTTGTGTGTCACAAAAATTGTCCCCACAGCAGATGACATCCTAGCACGACTCTTGGTCTCCAATCTCACCCCGAAGAACTCCTTCGTGGAGCCAGAGTCGAGGGTTCCGTACGAAATCTCCGACTGCTTGGCCAGGTCATCGGCGCTCTCGATGGGCGACACCATGCGCTCAACAGTCAGGAAGGCAGCCAGGTTGGCCGTGTACGACGAGATGATGATGAGTGTGAAGAACCACCAGACGCCACCCACGATGCGGCCAGACAGGGACCTGCACGCACACGTGGACAAACATCTATACACACGTGGCTCTACAACACCTAGATGCACAAACATGGATACATTCGGGCGATGGTGGCACACACCTGTAATTCAGCACTATGGAGGTGAGGGTTGGTGGATTGCACAAATGTTGTCAAACTCACTTTCCCGTGGGCGTCGAGGTGCTATACCCTGGCTCGCCAGAAAACAGCAGTGCAAATGTTCGGTCTGTATAGGATAGTGCATTCGCCCTCCCACCCCCCCCCCCCCCTCATGCATGAGTTGTTTTTTTTTTCTCCCGGGTGCACAAGTTTCCTCCCGCGTGGAAACAACTCATTAATTGGCCGAAAACACCTTAACATTGATGATTGCAGAGCTTGGGGAATTGGCACCATCTCACCGCAATGGCTGCCTTCCCACTTGTCTGTGGTTACTCGCGCCTCCAAGTCGTCCGCTATCTTAAAGAGGAAATACTGTGTGTGTTATAATATATTATTATAGTAATATATTACAGTACTGTTATTTGGGTTGTTAAAATGCATTTTCATTATTGATAATCTCACGTAAAAATAAATGATGACTATTGGTTTGAATAATCACAAAATGACGAGGGGGGTATTATTCATAGTTGTTACTACAAGATCTCCCGTCATATAAAATGGGGACCACCGGACAGGGCAAGCAGCAGCCAACATGTTCAAAGCTGGAGGCGTCTTATTCGCGAATGGAGCCCGGTGGTCAATTATTGAAATCACAGTCTGGATGCACAAACTTTGTCATAGATCAGAGAGATGCGACTGCACAATAACTGTGTTAAAACTACACAACGACTGGCTAAAGACTCGGCACTAAGCCAACTGGTGTACATGTGCTACTGTGCACGTTCCATCATAATAATCAGTATTACATTTACCTTGCTGAAGAGAGGGAAAACACAGACACAACAAATACCCCGAATTACGGCAAAACATTTTTTGACGTTTTTTAGTCACATCCAAGAGTTTTAGGAACGTCTGGACACCTAGTGGCTGGCCCCGTCGAAACCCGTGGGACCTCTCCTGTGATCACATGTACTGGAGCCTGCACACAATGACTGCCCTTTCTTCAACAGTTCCTCGGGGCAGGTCATTCCTGGCCTACACGTTCCTCAGTGCTCAGGCTCCATCCAGATCGTTACTTTAACCTCCTCAGCAGCTGACGCATGAGCCAGCCACTTTCTCTAACCTGAGGCTCTGCAACTGCCACTGGGTCAGCCCTACCTTGGTTACCATGCTGCCATTTCAGCTGAGGAATTCCCCCAACTTAAACATACTCATCTGCACACAAAGCCAAAGATCACCTGTATAGCCTTTACAAAGGCTGTTGAGGCAAGTTCTGTTAACGAGCAAATTAAATCAACTTTAACTTATAAAGGCCAGTATGGCACACAAGGGGTCAATGGCCAACACCACACCTTGCCACCTTTGTCTCCCTGGTGGCAATATGTACACACTGCACCAGGTACTCATTTCAGGCCGAGTCGACCTAGGAGAGGCCCAGAACGGTTTCCGATATTCGTCACTGGTAGTCATGAGCAGGATTAGGATTAAGGTCACTAACCATCACACCACTGCTTCTAACCACTACGAACCCACATGCACTCAGTCATCTCACCGGGGCGAAATGTCACAGCCCTGCTGCATGAAGGCCCCCAGGGAGAACCACAAGCTGTTGAGGATGCTGAAGTCGTTAGGCTCGGGGGGACCTTCAGGCCCAAGTGGCGGAGGAGGTGGGAGCTCCCCGGGCCCCGCGGCTGCCTTCTGCCACTCGTAGGGGCTGAAACGGCTGACAAGGAAGAGCACAACGCTCACGCCGATATAGGCGAACACGATGCACATCCAGATCTCGTAGGCGAGTGGGTCGAGGAACGAAAACACCCCAGGCTTAGACTTCTGCGGCTTCTTGATCATGATGGAGATCCCCAGGCTCATGAACGGCTTGGAGAAGTCGATGACCTCCTCGCGCACCAGCGAGATGGTCAGCGGGGCAATGGCGATGTCTGCCTTCTGTCAGAGTGTGTGGCGGCGGTGATGTGGTTTGATGGTGTGGATGGTGAGATGTGAAGGTGATCATAATGATGGATGATGAGATGGTTTGTGAGGTTGTGGGATGATGAGGTAATAGGCATGATGAGTGGCAGAGTGTTGGGGTAGAGTGGTGATATAAATGGCAATCAGGTGTAAAAGTGAAGGGTTGATGAGGTTAATGAGATAAATGGGGTGTTGAGATGGTGTGGCGAGGTGGTAGGATAATGGATTTAGTGATAGGTTACAAAGGTGATTGATAGATAGAGTGGTCAGGTGAACGATGATGGAGTGATGTTGACAGAGTAGCAGGTGAATCGTGATAGATGTTTACGTGATGGAATGAGAAAAGTGGGGTGGTGAGATGATCGTGAGGTTCATGAGGTGAGGGATTAAAGAAGTGGTGAAGGAGATGAGTGCTGCAATTGTCGTGAGATGGCCGGGTAACAAGAGTGGTGATGTATAGGTTCGATAATGGGATGTTTTTATGAAGATGTGCATGGGGTGGTTTATGAGTTCAGTGACATGATGGGTTTGGAGGCGATCAATGATTAAATTAGAGTGGGGTAGACACAGTGAGCAAACAAGCAGGAAGGAATGGCCAAATGTGTGGACATGACAATGTAATCAGTGGTTGAATGATCAATGACGTAAAGGGGAAGTCATCATAAGGTTAGAGTTATCTATTGCACACAACACGTGTTCAACAATACACACGTAGATAAAAAAAATATTTAGGGGACAGTCTTATGGGAACAACCCCACAATGCATCACAAACCCATACTGCTGTGGACACACTTAAATCTACTGTTTTCTGCATGCTGTGCATTATCCTGTGCCATGAATGTGTGTCACTATTGTTTTAATTAACAAATGGCGCTTAAATCACAAGTGATCCTTTGCGCTATAAATGACACGTTCTGGTTTTGTGAATGAGTGCCATCCATGAATAAAGTGTTCTCTCATTGTAAACGAACATTTCGCTCATTGACAATGAACAATACACTCTTTCTTTGTGAATGAGCATCGCGTGTGTTCGAGGATCTCCCTTGTCGTGACAAGAGGGATATTAATTCTAGATTTGAAGCTTTCGTGACTGCAAGGATTCATATTCTTAGGTTTTTTCGGTAAAGTCACGTATGTGACTTTTTCGGTAAAGTCACGTATGTGACTTTACCGAAAAAATCTAAGAATAAGAGGGATATTCTTTTCGTGAATGGTGTGTCCCCATGTTTGGAAGGGTTCGAGCGATGACATATCTGCCGTACCCCGTACACCAGCTCGCCAACCATGCCATTCCAGATCTTGGTTTCCGTGTCGCGGGACCCATAGGCGCCGTCCGGCACGAGTTTCCAGCGGTAGTTGAAGCCGACGTGACGTGCGATCTCTTCGCCCAGGTCCGCGCAGTATCCCTCGAAGCGATCGTTACCCGTCAGCTGCTCGTAGTTCTTGCGGTACATGAAGTACGGGGCGTCCTGTGTGCATTAGTGTATGTGATTGTGTGGCGGGTGTGTAAACACAACATCAGCACTGGGGAGAAAAAGGCGGCCGAGCGTGATGCTAGCCACCCACCCCCTCGTGTGCCATTGCTGGTCTTCATTAGGTACAAGCAAATAGCACTTGCCCCAACAAGCTGTTCAAGGCTATGTGGGGGTCATTTGCATTTGAGAATGTGTACGTGAATAAGCGTATAGTTGGCATGTTTAAATGCGAGTGTGATAATTATGTACGCATTTGGATGTAACGTAAAAAAATATATACATGTAATTTTTAAACGGGCTGTTTAGAGAAGATGGTTTAGGAATACGACTGTATTTGTACTCGAACTTATATTTCTGACCCTACAGCATTTCCTTGATTTCTTTAACAAATGTTTGAACGTTTCCAACCCAGTCTCCAATAAGCTTTAGCGTAAATGTGTTTTCTTTAATTTATGTTGGATGCCTATAATTTGGAAGCTTACCCATCATCTGCTCCAATTCCTAAATATTTGAATGCAGCTGGTAAAATATATTAAACTGTGCTTAATGTTTACATATTAAAGTATAACTCATTTAGAGACATCACCAAAGCCCTGGCCCTCGGACTAGACTCCATACTACAGGACATCATCGACCACGACCAAGCGGGGTTTATAACAAATATAACCCGTAAAAACAGTTTTTCACTATAAATCCTTTATATGCGTGGCGGCTAGAGTCCTCTCGTCCTCTGGCTTGAGATGGCTGCCACCTATGGGTCAGATGATTGCATGGCAGCATTAAGCAATTGGTAATTAAATATAATATTTTTGTCCTAAAAAGTGTAACATTTTGGATTTTTTTTCCACGAACATTAATTGTCACGCACAACGAGTCTGTGTGGAAAATGTCAGCTCGATTGGATCACGGGAAGTGGGTTAAAAAACGACCGAAAGATTTGCACGGTCCTAAGCAAGCGCGCAAGTGAACTTAATATAAAGGATTTAAAAAGGTAAACACTCGTCCGATTGCCCTAATTAGATGGACCCAAAACTCAAAACAACCGGGCTTCGCTCTCTCCATTAACAGCGAAAAAATCCTTTGACAGTAGAATGGAGCTTTCTATTCCGTGTCACGATTCTCATGAATTTACCCCAATCTTGTATATATCTTTGCTCGCTCCTATATAAATCCCCTCTGGCAACTGCTCGTACAAGAGATCTAATCTCCATCCCATTTCCCACTGGAAAGGGGCTCCCGTTAGGGATGCCCACTTTCCCCTTCCTTATATTCATTAGCTATAGAACCATTAGCAATTGTGATTCGCTCTTCCACTGACCTGCCAGGTATAATGCACCCTACTGGTTGGGAATCTCGACTTTGCTCTAAGAAGACGATGTCTTCAAGACCCAGCCTGTTTCTTCCCGCAGCTCTTGCATGACGTCATTACCCCTCTCGTCATCTCCCCATTGTCGCATGACGTCATCACTTCCTCTCCTCCCCTCAACACTCCCACGTTTCTTGACTGAATGACTCCCTTGCCTCCACCTCATCCGAGTAGTGTGACATCATCACCCCACTCATCACAACCTCACCCCATTCTGGCGTGACGTCAATACTCCCCCCCAACACCCCAGGATCTCTGACGTCATGAACCTCTCAACCCAATCTCACCCGACACCATGCCAGTGCAGTTACAGAGATACACACGCAAGCTCGCACGAACAAGTGTATTCTTATATAGATTGAGTAACAGACAAACCCGATAAATGTAAATGATTTACTAAAATAAACGAATTTATGTTTGGTTCATCTAAACCAACAATAAAAAACTTGGACCACCATAATTATCATTCCATTCTGTTAACTTTTAGAGAAATGCAGAATACTATTGTTTGAAACAAATATCAAAATTATTACCGTGAGTAGGCCTGCATCAACAAAGACTAATGCATTATGCATCTAAGAATTTATTTTTTTGCCCATTAGTAAGTTAGATGATAGTTATCTAAAAAATGTTTTACGTGAGGCTGATGATCGGGATAAACAATAGGAGACGGCAAAATGACACAAAAGGATTAAATTATGGAATCGATCTGCAACCCCGGTGACAATTTCTCAAATCATTGGTGACCGGGTGAATCATATATAGGCTCAAAAATAAGTCTGCAACGAGGCTCACTTTGCGGCAGAGGTGTGGACTCGAGTCATGCGACTTGGACTCGAGTCAGACTCGAGTCATGAATTTGATGACTTCAGACTCGACTTGGACTTGCATAACAATGACTTTGTCCCACCTCTGAGGTGTGGACTCGAGTCATGTGACTTGGACTCGAGTCAGACTCGAGTCATGAATTTGATGACTTCAGACTCGACTTGGACTTGCATAACAATGACTTTGTCCCACCTCTGCTTTGCGGAGCGAGAGGCGACAAATCCTGGCAGAGCGTGACGACCCAAACATCCCAACTCTGTCCTATCATCCCGCCAAAGGCATGTGCAATGTGCCTCGATGACTCAGGATTGAAAACTTCAGTGGCATCATAGTTGAAGACGGTGGCCCAATTAAATTGATCTTCCACTCGTGCACGTTAGTGCTCCTCAGTGGTGATTCTTGAAGCACACGATGGTGAACGACCCCAGGTATGTAGCATTGGAAAGTCCCTACTCACACAATGACACAAAGGGCATTTGCTCTGTGGGATTTTGCCTCTCTTAAAAGTCCGACATGAAATATTGATGTGATGATCATGGTCCCAAACAACAACAGTCAGCACACAAGTCCCCAATGTAAACCAGGGTGAGCAACTTAAAAAGCAGATGCATTCATGACAATAATAATGACAACAATAAACTCGTAAATAAACATAAAATATAAATGAATGTGTACTTACGACAAGGCGTGGATGAAAAAACGAAAATAAAGGCAGATGCTGTGGTAAACGTAACTAAAGCTTGTGGGATGGCTGCACAATCGGTGATGCTGTCTGCAGTCAGGGGACAATGAGCAAAGGGACAGAGGGGGGAAGAGACATAGGTGAGAGGGAGAGAGAGTCATTGTAGAGATGGAGCGAGAGCAAGAGAGAGGGAGGGGGTAAGATGGAACGGGAGACAAAAGAGCAAGACTGAATAGAGAAATGAAGCAAGAGAGTTCATGAAGACACAGGAAGATACCTGAAGGGAGAGAGAAAGAGAGAGAGAGACTAGAGAGAGATCAATGAGCAAGGATTGTAGAGACAGTGAGTGACAGAGAAACAGAAGAGAGGGAGGATAAGAATGGATGAGAGCAACGAATGCAGAAAGGGGGAAATGCATTTAAGTAGAGAACAGAAGACAGAGTGTCAGTAAGGGACATTTACAGAAGGACAGGGACATAATGCAAGATCTGAAGATAGAATGAGGGAGAGAAGGGGAGGGGTAGTGCAGGGGAGACAGTGCAAGAGAGAGGGATATTTGTAGATTAGAGGATACAGTGATATAATTGTGTACAGAGCTGAACCAGAGAGACGTAGCAAGATGGAGGGACATTCAGAGAAGCAGAGGGAGAAGGAATTTACCAATGGATGCAAATATTGAACGCAAGAAAAGGAGACGAAAGAAAAGTAGAGACAGAATATATAGAGAGTCACGGTGAGAAGGGAGATAGAGATACATGTGCGCACAGGGAGAGAGAAGTGAGCGGCCGATTCATGCTCGGCTGTTTCACCATATGCATCAACATCTCAAACATCACATCCATCTGTCACATCAAGAGCAACTCTAAGCCCACGTGCTCTAAACCCCTTGCAGAGATTTGTTCCACATCTACAATAATAACCACCATAATTAAAATCTGTACCCAGCAAAAGCTTTACTGAGTCTCAAGACTCGGTTTTCAATGTCAAGGTTCTACTAGGGATACTCTGCATTTTCCTTTTGAAGTAAAATTAAAAACTCTGCATGGGCTGTAACCTACACGTCTAAAGAAAACCAACAAACATGTCATCGGGGAGCAATCTCTCACGAGCTGGTGCACATAGCTGGTGCACATAGCTGGTGCACATAGCTGGTGCACATAGCTGGTGCACATAGCTGGTGCACATAGCTGGTGCATATAGCTGGTGCACATAGCTGGTGCACATAGCTGGTGCACATAGCTGGTGCACATAGCTGGTGCACATAGAAGCTGCCAGAAACCTCACATCTGCACTGCACCGTGAGGACAATGCATCACAGCCAAGAATCCAACCACGTCATCGTCGTATTCTTACTTGCTTCCAGGGGATTCACGACCCCCATCACTTTCTGATCCACAGACCCAAACCTTGCATCGCAAGTTTATAGAAAAATGCAAACATGTGAATGTGTGTAGTGATAAATAAGGTCGTGGCCAGAGGACATCCATGTCACACACCCAAATTAAACAGGAATTGGCTATATCTCCCAACCACACAGCTTTAGCGGGACCTGCCCACCATGATGAAAAGCCTTAACGATCTTGAGAAGAGGGTCAGGGACCCTGAAAGCACAACGAATAACCCAAAGCCCTTGCATTGTAGAACGTTACCAAGGCAATGAGGCAGAAATTGGGCTCGATTGAAATTCCCTACACCTCAACTTGAATTCAAATCTATCACTTTAACGGCCATCTTGAGCAATCACGCTTATTTACGAAGGGCTAGCTTGATTTGTTTCAGCTAGGAGCAGCCGCCTCTGTAAAATAGTACTTTAAGTGTACAATGTTAAATAATATGCATTTTACGAACTTTAAATGTGGGTCTGATGCCACTGGTCATGGACCAATTTCAGACCAAACCCGTGAAATATTTTTGGGATATAACTCATAATTTGGCCAAATTGGGCTCAAGGTGGCTCAAAATTATTTTAAAATATCGAAACATTTTTTCAATGATGAGTGAAAGCACAATGCATATTACACATGTTACATGGTGGAATATGTTTTAAAATGCAAACAAAACTAATCATACTCTTTAGGAAAAAAAACTAGTCATGTTTTATCTTTGGATTATGCATGGCAGCATTGATGAGAGCCCAGAAATACTGTCTGTCTAGTGCGTATTATACACCAGCATTAACATCACTAATCATTGAACCAGATACTGTTAAATAAACAGTCGTCTCTATTTGAGTAAACTTACCCCAACGCCCTGATTTTTCCATCACTGGTAAAACTCACCGATCATTGTGGAGCTATAAATTACATTTTAACCCATGCAAAGTACAGCAATCCCTTGTCAACCGCAAAATTCATGTACACACTGTTTATTATCTGCATACCAATTTGCCAAAAGCGACCTGGAAATTTTGAGTATCCACGTTATAGGCACGGGTCCGCAAAACGCATTTACAAATTTTGCCGGGCCGCGATTCTCCTCCGTGCCACCGCGCCACCAGTGGCGCTGTGTAGCTTATCAGCTGTCCCTCAAAGTGAAGTAAAAGTGATGGGTTTGCAAAGTAAAGTATTAAATAGGCTTGTACGTGGTGAGAGTGTTGTGTCTGTGGGGCGAGTCTTTGGGGTAAATGAGATTAGTCCTCCTTCTAACCAGCCCTTCCATGTCATGTCATTGTCGTTATCAGTCATAATAATGGACTTCTACCCTCAATGTATGTAAAGTTAATGCAATGTTTATTTATGCTTTATTATATTATTGTGTAATGTACTGTGTTTTATTCGTGTTTAGTGAAGAAACAGGGAACTTAGTTATCCTATGACGAGTCTGACCATGGACGTGGTTCCTCTAAACCCCTATTTCCTATAGGCCCTGTACTTTACCAACCGTGGTTTTGCCTACCACGGACTTTTCCATGAACCTAACCCCCGCGGTTGGCAAGGGATTGCTGTATATTTTAAAATCGTTTTACCAAAATAAAATGATAAATGCATGATATTTTTAATTAATGTTTTCCTAAATGTTGCAAGAAGCCTTAGAGAAGCAGTGAGTAGATGCATATTCACATTCCTGATGCCTAAGAGGTAAAACTACTTTTTTTAGTTGTGCCACCCCTTTAAAACTGGTCATAGACAAGTAGGTTTAGTCTGACGATGGCTTCAGGGCAAGGATTTGTGGCATGCAGTGAGGTGAACAGATAGGGTAGGGAAGCAGCCTTGCTGCTGGGGGGCCGGGTTCATACCAGGATCGTAGTTACGATGACCGTTTTGTTTTGATGTAGAGAGCTATTTATTCCATCCTCCCCGAGTCCTGTCATCACCAGGTGCTTGGTGTCTGACCAGTATCCCACCTGGGTGCACACACATACACAGATTAAAATGCATAGATGTAAAAAATTAACCCGTAAAAACAAAGTTTTTCACTATAAATCCTTTATATGCGTGGCGGCTAGAGTCCTCTCGTCCTCTGGCTTGAGATGGTTGCCACCTATGGGTCAGATGATTGTCTGCCAGCATTAAGCAATTGGTAATTAAATATTTAAAAATAATTTCCCTAAACAGTGTAAAATTTTGGAAACAAAGATTTCACGAAAATTAATTGTCACGCACAACGAGTCTGTGTGGAAAATGTCAGCTCGATTGGATCACGGGAAGTGTGTTTAAAAACGACCGAAAGATTTGCACGGTCGTAAGCAAGCAAGTAAGCACGCAAGCACGCAAGCAAGCGAACTTAATATAAAGGATTTAAAAAGAAACAAGAGTTGCCCGTGGAGCCTTTTGTGGCAAGTGCTGTTACAGCGAGCACCGATAAAGGCTGACACGGCACACTAGCGGAGGGGTTGCCATCACCATGCCCCCAAATGCTGATCTTTACACACCACACAAGGTAATCATATACTGATGAGTTAACCTAGGGGAGGCCCAGCACCAGTTTAAATATGTTCCAGTTATTGGTCGTGAACGACAATTATTCTTCTTTCATATGGCTGAAATAGATACATCAGCCATTCAAGTGGTCAAGCCAGACAACCACATCAGGAGCAGCTGAGTGTATCGCTGTAATGTGTCCTTTATATTTGTGGTTCATGCATTGCATCGTTATTTGTTGTATGGTCTGTTCTGGATGACCACTGTCACACACTGGAGAGTTTAAATTTTCCATTTGTGCAGAAGATCAAAACCAAGGATCTTCTGCTTTGGGTCTTTCACAAGGTGCTTGTTTGTGAGTTCTGTTGAATTTTATGTCGCTTTCCAAACTTCATCGGGGTAGAACTTAGCATTGTTCAAGGTTAAGCACATGGGTCCAAAAGGGCTTGGGTGACTTCAAGCGATGACGAGGGACATTATTGAAGTCCTGATGATTGAGTGGGGGGAGAGATGAGTGACAGTACGGGCAACCAGGGTATTGAGGTCGACTTGAGGATTTAGTCGGACATCAACAAGTCGTGTGTGACAACTTCTGGTCCATAGCTGGTGCACAGTACTTGGCTACAGAGTACACAAGGGTCATCGTTGATGTCTATAAAACTGGAGCTGATGCTCCCCAGGTTGTGCTTGCCAGAGTGGAAAGTGCCTTGCTTGCTGAGATAGAAAAACAGGTGCCGATCTATGACGAACATCCAGCCATTGAGGTCTTTGCCGTCGGCCTCATCTACTGCATAGCCCCACATAGTATGGTGGCTATTAAAGTCACCAATATGTTTGGCTGGGATTGGTGCACTTGGGTGCACTGGCTTTAGCCATTTTTGATTCTGGCTTTTGTGAACCTTGGTGATGTGCAGCTCCCCTATTCTTAATGCTGAAGGTGTAGGTAGCTTCTGTTTCAGTTGGTGGGAAGGTGTAGAACTCTGTGATGGTGTTCTTCACGAATATGACCAAGCCATATTTCGGGTTGTAGCGGCTCATCGTGAGGCTTTATCCATGGATGTGGTAGCGACTAGCATATAGGGCATCCAAGACGTTGGTATTTTAAAGCGTCAGGACATCAATGTTATGGGTTTTCATTATGTTTGCGAGATACTCGCACTTTACCTGGGAGAATCCCTCAATGTTCAGTTGGATGATTCTTCTCCCAGTGCATTTCTTGCATATTGTTTGGCCTTGAAGAGGCCCATTGACATGGCTTGTGTTGTTGCTCTGGAGATTGGATGATCGATGACCAATGTTCAATCGCCGCATTGATAGCATGCGTTATGATTTATCCCTTAACTGTCATCTTCCACTTCAACGAGAATTGAACTCGGGTCACCGAGTTTGTAACATGGTGCGCTAGCCACTGCATTACCACTTGCCACGCACATATAGACACATGCTTTCGACACAACTATGCAGAAACGTAAGCAAATGCCCACAAAGACGCACATGATTAGACACAATCTCACAAATGCGACTAATGTTAGTTGTGGCCAGGTATCAAACTCTGGACCGCTGATTCTAGATTTGAAGCTTTCGTGACTGCACGGATTCATATTCTTAGGTTTTTTTCGGTAAAGTCACGTAGGTAAAACATCAAAATTAATAAAAATAAAATAAAGATCACGACGTTTCGGAGGCAACACAAGTCTCCGTCATCAGGTGGGACCGTCACAGCCAGATTAGCTGCATCAAGTGAGGCAATGATTCAAGATGTAATCCCTTAAAAGCGAGTTGAGGGGGGAGGAGAGGGGGGGGGGAGCTCATCAGAATGTGGTAGCCAATGAATGGAACGTATCGGGAGGGAGGGGGGCGGGGCCAAAAGGGTGGGCGACGGCGTGGAAGCGATTGTGCGCAAGAGACAAACTGCTGCACACGCCAACGCATTGGACAGAGAGGGGGGGGGGAGGGGGAGGCCTGATACACATGATACAAAAGAACGGAACTGCCATTGTTTATACCAATGCTGGCTGAACAATGAAGAGATTACTGTTAAACACTCGGTAAACGGTACTGTCCAAAGGACAAAATTTCGCCATCACCCCTAAATATATACCAGTAGAAAATATGATTTCTCAGATTGATGTAGCCCTCAGAGGCATAGGACACATCCATGCGGATGTAGCAAAAGCTGAAATAGCTACTATTCTTAAGAATGCTAAGAAATCCACTAGTAACATCAGCAAAAACGAACGCTCTGAACTCGTGGACCTAAAAAAGAGAGATGATATAGTCATCCTCTCAGGCAGACAAGGGCAATGCCACGGTCATCATGGATAAAGATTCATACAACAACAAAATCCTGGACCTTCTTAATGATGGGAGTTACTCCAAAATTAAAAACGATCCTACTAAAAGCCTAACGACGAAAACCAACAGTATCATCACGAGTTCGACTTCCCTAATCGAACCAAGCAAACGTCCCTCTCTAAAACCATCGGCGGCTAGACCTCCCAGACTCTATGGTCTTCCCAAAATCCATAAGGAAGGCACACCGCTACGACCCATCGTGTCGACGATAAACTCTCCTACGTACAAACTAGCCCGTTTTCTATCAGATACTCTGCTCCCCTTCACAGGCAAGACCTCTTCGGCAGTACTCAACTCAACCCAATTAGTCTCTATGGTTAAGGACATGGTACTATCTCCTGATGACATCCTCGTCAGCTTTGATGTAGTATCTTTGTTTACCAAAGTCCCAGTACCGGACACCCTAATAATAATTGAGGACTTAGTCCAACATGGATTGAATTCTGATGTACCTGCGCTGGTTAGGCATTGCCTCACCAACACCTATTTTACCTGGAATGGCACCTTCTACAAACAGAATGAGGGTACCCCTATGGGCTCCCCCTTGTCACCAGTTATAGCCAACATGTTCATGGAAAAGTTTAAATCAGACGCCATCCAGACATCCACCCTGCGTCCTTCCTTTTGGAAGAGGTATGTGGATGACACTTTCGTCATCTGGCCACATGGCCTCCCAGCACTGAACCACTTCTTGGACCACATCAATTCTAGACACCCATCCATCAGATTCACCATGGAAGTGGAGAAAGACGGTAAACTACCATTCTTGGATATTCTGTTTGAGAGGAGACCTGACGGATCCTTGGGACATTCTGTCTACAGGAAAGCCACCCAAACAGATTCCTACTTGAAACCGGATTCCCACCACCACCCATCTCAAAAGAATTCTCTCATCAAAACGCTATACTACAGAGCCCATGGCATTTCTGACCAACACCACCTGACCGGTGAATTAAGACATGTACATCGGCCCTCAGGATGAACGGATACTCTGACCGTACTATCCGCCAAGCTGTCTCTCCCACCACACAGAAACAGCCACATGAAACTCCGACCAAAACTATCACGTTACCATACATAGCAGGCGTGACCAAAAAGATCTCCAAAATTCTAAACAAACATAAGATCCAAGTCCGATTCAGTACAGTGCATAAAATCCGTGATCTGATTCCATCTGTGAAGGATGTCGTTCCTGACTTACAGTATCCTGGAGTCTACAAATTGAGTTGCATTTGTGGTGATTGCTACATTGGAGAAACGAAACGTCATGTTGCTGATCGTGTCCGCGAGCACAAGTCAGATCTGAAACACGGCAGAACTGATTCTTTGGCCGTTGCCGATCATTGCTACAACTCGGTGGGCTCTCATGAAATTGTCTTTTCCGAGACCAAGGTTCTCTGCAAACCTCCTGGCTACCATCAAAGGTTTGTACACGAAGCCATACAAATATACAAACACAGACATAATTTCAACCGTGATGATGGGTACAAACTTAGTAATCATTGGAAAGATGTTATTAACCACGCAAAAAAAAAAGACTTAATTACACTTTTTTGGACCATCTTATCTGACAGGCACTATTTTACTTTACTTTACCGAGTGTTTAACAGTAATCTCTTCATTGTTCGGCCAGCATTGGTATAAACAATGGCAGTTCCGTTCTTTTGTACCATGTGTATCAGGCCTCCCCCCCCTCTCTGTCCAATGCATTGGCGTGTGCAGCAGTTTGTCTCTTGCGCACAATCGCTTCCACGCCGTCGCCCACCCTTTTGGCCCCGCCCCCCTCCCTCCCGATACGTTCCATTCATTGGCTACCACATTCTGATGAGCTCCCCCCCACTCTCCTCCCCCCTCAACTCGCTTTTAAGGGATTACATCTTGAATCATTGCCTCACTTGATGCAGCTAATCTGGCTGTGACGGTCCCACCTGATGACGGAGACTTGTGTTGCCTCCGAAACGTTGTGATCTTTATTTTATTTTTATTAATTTTGATGTTTTACCTACGTGACTTTACCGAAAAAACCTAAGAATCTGGACCGCTGGTTTTTTAGTGGAGCATATTAATCACTGTCTACCACTCCTCACAAGCAATAAATATGTTTATGGCCCCACGTTCAATTGGTGAACTCATTGTGCGATGGCAGAAGCGATATAGACATGAGATGGAGATACAGTGAGATGAGAGAATGTATTCAAGAATAGAGATTTGGTGCATAAGTTTATATATGCATACATGTGCATTCGATTTTGTGGGAAGCATTCATTCATTTTCGTGCATGCAGACAAGTAGGCAATTCAACACAAGCAACCACAATGATCAAGAACAAGTTAGTGAGACGCCTAACCTCCGCGTATGAACCAAGATCATTGGAGTTGATGGCTAAGTGTCCCAACATTGCCATCGTGAGCCACTGAGAGAGAGGCAGCCCTGAGCGGCCATACCTTTGTGGGTCCGGTGGGCCTCAGCTCCATGACTCCAAGAGTGTAGTTCGACCTCTGACCCAGCTCATTAAACTGAATATTGTTGGTGAGGCCATTGATATGAACCTGCACAGACATGAGGGCACACGCACACATGTAACACAACCGTTGTAGGAGCCAGAGAGACCATTAGAGCATTGTGATGTTTGTGCACCGTGGAAAAACGGTTGATGCGGCCAACGCTATGCCCAGCCACCTGGGATTTCCTAGTGCTGATGTTTACGTACCCTCAATAAGGAAGAAGTTCCACCACTTAAAAACTATGACTAGTCCTCTTATATAAGCGCACAACTTTATCTATCTGTGATGAACGCTGCACTTTCCGTCGTTTTCATACAGGGGGCGCTGCAACCCTACGCGCCCCCTGCATGAACGACAGAAGAGCAGGGACAGACGTTCGATTACGTTGGAATCGATCTGCAGACGGCGGTCTTCTCGCACAGCCGGCTCTACTATGTCGCCTTATCTCGATCCCGCAATCCCAAACAGGTGAAAGTCCGCATCGAACCGAACCCCCATCAAGGCCATCTACTGAACGACGAGAGAAAATTAACACGAAATGCCCTTTTCAATGAAGTCTTCCAGATGTAAAATGATATAAGCTTTTAATGAAGAAATAAAATTATCTAATTCAAAACACAATACAATTCAAAGATGTTTCATTTTAAAACTTCTAAACGGAGCATCGGGTGCTTGCGTGAATGCGTCGTTCGCGTGCAACTTTTTTTGTGACTTTCCTGGCAGAAGGCCGTAAATGCCTGAGCCAACTTATGCCCCGACAGGGAAATTATTAGTTATAATTGATTTGTGATTGTGCAATACCTTCAATTGCTCATGTGAAACAATTTTTTTGTTGTGAATAACAATTTTTTCATTGCTTTTGCAATTTCAGTGACCCATGTCCCTTTGTAATCGAGACTCATATGGGTCTCTCCAAATTCTCACCTGGTTAAACAAAAATAAACTTGACTTAAACATGACTTAACTAGACCCAAAGGCAAATATCCTACTTATAGCATCTCACTTGGTACACCTGTACAGGGGAAGGGGGTTGTGGAAAACCAGGTTCTGGGAGGCAGGGAGGAGAGATGGAGCCACGTGCACGAAATCATTGAAAACGATCAACATGTGCAGCAAGCTAAGCTATTGTGTTTGGAACAGGTGGAATACACGATTCTATCAAGGTGTCAATCACAATTGAGCGAGCCCAGCTTCCTATAAATAGGGACCACCCCGCCACACAACAGAGGTGCTGGGTCAATGCAGGAAGACCCCAGCCGCAAGCATCTCTACTCTTAAGCTCCAGCCAGCAGTGCCGAGAGGAACGGTCCAAGGAAACAGGCAAACTTCAAGCTTGGATGCCCGGTGGGGAGCCGAGACGGGCAAGGACATTCAGCAAAAGGGGAGAGGAGCACAAGGAAGCCACCCTATGGTGGGAAAGAGCCAGCAAGCACCTGGTTCACTTCCTCTGATCTGGCGATGGTTTCAGGCCCAGTGGTGGCTCGCGACGCGCTGGGTGGAGCTTCAACTAGGGGACGGGTTGCTTGTGAATGCTTCCCAAAGCGAATGGTAAACGCCATCGAAGGCTAAAAGTGCCTTAACGGTTTGTGAGTGTCGTGTCAGGATAAGGGAGTCATCCTGGATCATATATTGTGAGTGTATTGTGGTGTTCTCGAGATACGCTACTGTGTGAAAACTGGCAGGGTGGCTTGTCCTAAAAATTAATGACGGACCAACCCTATTGAATCGCCTCGGGTGAATGATCTTTATTGCTCTCGCTAGACTCGATCCACAATATACACGGGAGTGACCTGGCTGACCAAACATATGATAGTAACGCCGATGAAAGTGAGCCTGGGAAAGTCGGCAAGAGATGAAACGCCACATAGCCTTAACAGACTTTTGGGGCAAGTGCCATTTAGAGAACACCTACAAACTCCAGTACGATAGAGGGGGTGGGTGACCAACACCACGCTCGACCACCTTTGTCTCCCTGGTGGTCATGTTTACACATTACACCAGTGCCTCATTTGAGATATTCGCCATTGTTATTGACTGCGAACGGGAATTGAATGCCAGTCGCCGAGTTTGTAGTGCAGTGTGCTAATCACTGCACTACTGCCTCCACACAAAACACACATAGGAGCCAGGTGCTCGCCTCCCACCACTTGCCCCACACTGAAGCTACAGGGAATCCACCTTCCTTGCTGCGTGTGCGTGTCCTTGCGTTGTGTGTGTGCGCACGCACATTCTTGAGCGCGCGCTGGATGTCGACGCCCTTCCCCCAAGGCACGGCGGGGTTGGCGAGGCAGTCGCCGGTGTTGCCCTCACGGTGGAGATCGAAGCGCTGCTTGTAGAGTGCTCGGAACGCCTGCGAGATGACGAACACGCCGTCGTACGCCAGCGCCGACGTGGACTGCACACGTGTGTACATGTAAGAGCACGTGCAGGCTGTTTATTACACTCCCACAACACTGAGGACGTGTGTATGTACACGTACAAAGACAAAGATAGACTTGAACGGACTGTTGAGGAAAATGCTGTTGGCGAACACCTATGAAGGCCGACATGGCACATGAGGGGGTGGATGGCCAAGCCCGGCCGAATTTGTCTACCCAGTGCTGATATTTACATACCGTACCAGGCACTGACTTAAGGCTGAGTCAACCTACCTACAGGATATAGGTACACAAGCATTTCCACCTGCATGTATGAAACATGTTATGCACACCTAAGCATATATATGTTGTGGTATAGAAAGATAAAAGATCCCACTGTGTAGCCTTTATCAACCTGTTGGGGCAATTGTGCTGTTAGAGAGCACCTATTGAAGGCTTGCGTGGTGCACGAGAGAGTGGTGTGGCCAGCACCACACCCATCCAGCCCCACGTCCCCTCAGTGCTGATGTTTATCCAGCACCCCACACATGGTCACCTTGAAATGGAGGCTGTCAGAGCCCGGGTACACGTGTGGGCTCTGCTTGTGCCACTTGTCCAGAAATGCAATGACTTGCGGCGCCATACGGTCCACCATCTGGAACCCTGACACGTTGGCCCCTCCATAGCGGAACACGTCCAGGTCCACGTCCAGGAAGCCCTGCGCCATGAGGATGAAACAACATGCATAAGTTTAGATTTAAAGCTTTCGTGACTGCAGGGATTCATCTTCTTGGTTCTTTCGGTAAAGTCACGTAGAAGGGAAGTAATAAAATTATAAAAATAAAACATAATAAAATAATATAATATAATAATAAAATAATATTATATAATAATATACTAATATAATAATATTATATTATGTTTTATTTTTATTATTTTATTACTTCCCTTCTACGTGACTTTACCGAAAGAACCAAGAAGAAGAACATGCATAAGTACAGGTGTGCACGCGTGCGCGCGTTTGTGTACGGGGAAACAGCAGTGTAGAGAATAGCGCCTTTGATTGCTGCTCATGGCCAACACCTCTGACAATTATCTGAACCAGTCCTGGTCCTCCCCTAGGTCTACTCAGCCTCAAATTAGTACAGGCAGACCTCACTTAGCGCTCAATATGCGTTCCTGGAGAAGTGAGCGTGAATCGAATCAGTGCTAATGGGGGTCATTATATTATTATTTAGATGGGAATGCATTCCCGACAGCGTGATTTCTTTCCTATGAGCAATATATGAGTGCTTCATTGGGATCTCGGTAACAGCGCTAATAATACAAGTGGTAGACATTATTTCAGAAGTAAAAATAACACTGCTCAAAAAAAAAATAAGTTTTTTTCTGGCCTGGACTTTTGCAGTTGTTTTTTCAGGGTGCTGATTCCAAATCTTATCTCAGATTTACTCTATCACATCTCATTTTTATGCTATCGGCATACCCTATTTTCATTGATTTTACCCGAAATTAACTGTCACTTATGATTGCAAGTTGTTGCGAGTCAGTGACTGCTTTAGTGTTAAAATATGGTGCTGTATTTTTAGGATAGTGTGTTTATAATATAATTTTATGTAGATATCCACATTTATTTAATATTTTTCTTCTGCAGTTTTTATTGAAAATGCAATATTTGAGATCTCAAAACCTGATGTGATAGACAAAAACTGATGCCAGATTGGGAATCAGCACCCCAAAATGACCTTCAAACCGTTGAAATACCTTATGCCAGAAAAAGTGTGTTGACCAGTGTATAATCAATGATTATAACATCAGTAATTATTATGGACTGTACTCCTACAAGGCAGCGGTCGGATACGAGGTTGTAGCTGCTGCTAATCCAGGTCACTCAGAGAACAGCTCCAGGAACTCCACATTTGAGTGATGCCCTCAGTCTAAATTTCTGTCGTGAGGTTTCTTTTACGTGGAGCCCGAGACTCTCTCCCGCAGTCTCGTTGGTTCTCACCTGGCCAGACAAATCGATTTCTTTTTAATGTAATCGAGACCACGAATCGTGATAATTGAATCACGGTTGGGTGGGGTCTGGTTGGCTCGGCGTACGCCGCTCTCATTGGCTGAGCGAATGATGGGGGCGGGTACGTTTCCCCGGCAAACGCTGCTGTGTGTCTTTCACTCATGCGAGAACTTTGTAGATTATTTGATTTTCTTCATTTTTGTTTAGGATTAAATTTCCCCAGGACAAAGAGCACGAAAACGAATCAACTTTCTGTGGGGGGGGGGGGTCACACTGAGCGAGGTCTGCCTGTACCTGACAAAATGTGTTAAACATCGCCACTCGGGAGACAAAGTTGGCTGTACGCGGTGCTATGTTTGTGGTCATGGATAAAGTCATTGACGAACAAGTCAATCAGTCCTTTCTCTATCCAACGTTGATTCCGCCAAATATAAGTCCCTCTCGTAGCGTGCCCCCAAATACTTCACACTTTGGTGACATGTTTCACCATTACGCAACTAAAAAAAACCCTATTTTCTAAAGACAAAAAAGTCTATGATAAAAAGTAAGTAAAAAAATATACATTTTGCAGGTTAACCAACTAAAATCTTAATCCGATGGCGTCACCACGCCACGGCAGTGCCCAGTGTCACGGGCTGGGTGTAGCGATCTTAGATCTATCTGCCTTTGTTTGCATGCTGCTGCAAGCAGCCCGCGGAAGCGTTCAAAAACACATTAAGTTACTCCTTATTAAGTCATCTTGGCAAGTCATAATTTTTCAATATTGTTATTTGTTATTAAACTCTTAAATCATTTTTTGTAATGTCACCAATATTAAGTATGTCATTGATATGTATTTTGTAATTCCAGGGCTAAAATAATGAAATGAAATGACATTTAATTCTTATTCGGTAACAGCCCCCCTTCCCCTATTAAAATATACAATGTCTAAGGGAAAATAGGCTTCATACAGCACGATTTGACTTGCGCGCTGTTTTTCAGGAATGCATGTTGCTCGATATGCAAGGGACGCCTGCACCTGGTGTGATGTGTAACCATCAGTACTAGGGAAACAAAGGCAGTCAAGTATGTTGCGAGCTACACTATTCCCCTAATGCCAGGATGGCCTCATAGGTGTTCACTAAAAGTACTTGGCTCTACAGCCTGTAGGCTATATGGTGGATTTTGTATTTGTTTACAGGAGTGTCGTGATTAGTGCGCAGCGCTACGAACCCGGCGACCCGAGTTCGATTCCCGCTCACGGCTAACACCAGTTACAATTATCTGAACCGGTCTTAGGAACTCCTCTCCTAGATCGACTCAGCCTCAAATGAGTACCTGGTGCATTGGATCAACCATTTCCAGTGGGGAACAAAGGCAGTCGGGCGTGGTGCTGGCCATCCACCCCCTCATGTACCGTGTCAGCCTACATAGGTGCTCACTAACAGCACTTGACCCAACAGTCTGTTGAAGCTATATGGGGGATATTTGTATGTCTTTGTATAGATAGTGTGCTTATGACCAGCTCCGGATTGACAGCAGAGGTCTGACTGAATCATTCAGGCGATAATATCCTTTCATCGGCTGCATAACACTGTATGAAAGCTAACTGGTCTGTCGCTCCACAAAAAGATTCAGGTTTTCTCGGCCACAGTCATGCCCTCCCTTCTTTACATTTGCAAAACGTGGACTTCTCTAATGGAACATCTGTGCCAGTTAGAAACATTCAGACTGGCCTGCCTACGATCCATCCTGGGTTTAACCAGGCTGGATTGTGTGCGCTCACAAATCCTTGAAAGATCTAGACACATTCCTATCAGTAAGTTCTGCTGGCGAGCAAGGCTGTATTGGTGGGGTCATGTAGCCTGCATGACGAGCAGCTTCTGTTTGGCCAGATAGAGGGGGATAAACGGATGTGGCGCAGGCTGGAGAAGACTGATGCGGTATGGGAGGATATGGAACTGAGTGGACTTGCCGAAGACTGGTACCAGTAGTGCCAATATCAGCGTCTATGGAGGAGGTTCATGAAGGACACTGCTCCAGTTGGAGGCAGTCGCCCTCCAACAACAACAGTGGGTAGAGGAGCGCGACATTCATAACAATGAGTGGAGTACAGGGGGGCTAAAATGCAGCATTTTAGCACAGTACAGGGCACAGGTGGTGCATTTGCCAGTCATCGCAGTCAGTCAATCCATAGCACCTAGGTCTGTCCCGTGACCTCCTGTCAGCGAGCCTTCAACACTTCACGTGGCCTCGGAGTGCACCTGGCCTGGTACAAGTGCTGCGGTGACGTCACCGCCACTTAGTGGCGAATGTTGTTGTACACCCCTTAGATAATGTGTGTGTGTGTGCGTGCCTCACCAAATTGGCGATGATGTAGTGAAATCCCTTTACGTGGTTTCCCACATTCACCACCTGCACCCACACAAACACCCATCATCCATAATACAGGTTTTTTTGGGTTATATCGCGTAATTATATAAACGTGTCGTTAAACCGGCCACCACCCGACAGCCAATTAGTAAGGTTTGCCACGTAAACAGAACATGTCAATTTGTAACTCGTACAGCATACCAGTGAGTTAGAGAGCCAAGTCACAACATTTACAATCGGAGTACGACGTTTCACCAGTAATTACAACTAACTTCATCAGGCGACAGACATTTGTGGAGAAGTCCACCTGTTTCGTTCCTTAAAAACACCCATCAGCCAGACTCCATCCACTGCTATACAGGAGCCTCACCACTATTCCTTTCAAAGAATTCTCACCTGGTGTAACCAACATCTCTATAGAGCCATCAAACTGCAAGGGAGACCTTGGAACCAAACAGTAGATGCAGAATTTTAAATGTGACTTCTTAAGAGCTGGAAGGTAGGGAATACAGTGGTCGACCATGACATGGTTCAAAGACCACTCTTAATGAACTGCATTCCATCAAATCTTGGAAGCTAAGCAGGTCAGAACCTGGTAAGTAGTTTGGTAGGAAACTGCTTCGGAATTTCAGATGTTGCAGAGTTGGGCTGCAAAGCAACCAAGAGATGAATCCAATGCAGGAATTGATTCTTGAATCCATTTATATGGAACGCTTGATGTTACATCTTGAATGTTTGAATTTAACCAGACAATTTGGCCTCCCAGATATACACAACACTCTAAAAACATTGGCCAAACATTCCAATGCCTAAACCCTCCTGAACAAAAATATTGAGACCCACTGAGGCTTTCCTGGATATACAAAGGGCATCATTGTGATTACTGCACAGCTACTTCCGGAACCAAATCACAGCAGCCTGAAAGTTTCACGACCGCTGTCTCCAATCGCTGAATCACAAGCGTGCGCTTCACCCATAAACGGGATTGCTCATGGAGGGGGAGGCTAGGGGACCTGCGATAGTGTCGACGCCACCCTGTGGGCCTCGCAGTCCAGCACGATGTTACGTTCCCCGCGCACGGCCAGATCACGCAGGAGCTGCCGCAGAGCCTCATCACCCAGGCCCTCAATGGACAGAGCCATCATAGCCCAGCCCCGGCGCGTTGCCTCCTGCACCACAGACTGCAGCAGCCACAGGCCTGTACACAAGCACATACACAAACATCGTACACACACACACTGGTAATGCGTATGACCACATCACCTTGAACGCGCCTGATATACCACATTTCTGGGAGGCTCAACCAGGGCATATAGTGAATTTACCGCTTCTCCGAGTCCACTCAATCACTAGCCACATCCATACACAGTGAGTGATTTGACCCTTGCTGATGTTGAGGCCACCATCCTATCCCTGTATCATTGTGAGTTATCCATGATGCCGGAAAATGTGTAAATCGAGACAAAATCATGATTTTCACAAAAAACACTGGGACACCAGGACAGTGTTTCTGTGTGAGTGTGTACACTCACCAAGACATGTGTTGTACAGGTGCACGTGTGAGTGTCTACGTGCGTGAGTGTGTACGGGCGGTGTGAGTACGCGAGTGTGTCGGGCAGTGGAAGAGTAGCGGGTTAGAGCGATGCACTAAGAACTCGGCGACCCAAGTTATATTCCAGTGGTGAACATCTGAACTGGTCGACTCGGCCTCAAAGGAGTACCTGGTGGGATGTGTAAACATCGGCTGGGCGTGGCACTGGTTATACACCACCTCGTGTGCCATGCTGGCCTTCATGGGTCCTCACTAACAGAACTCACCCCAACAGTCTGTTAAGGCAATACGTGGGATCTTTGTCCTTGTTTTGAGTGAACGCTCACCCCGGTCCGTGTCGTACAAGTACACGAACTTGCCCCACGCGTATCTGTCGATAAGGTGCAGGAGTGGCCACCCAAGCGGCGGCTGCAGCTCAATCAGGAACGGGGATGGAGGCTCCTGCAGACAAACATCACTCATTCACTACTAAAGCAGTCAATACTCAAACATTCACTACTTATTCCTAACCCATCTATAACCTACTCACTACTCAAATTATTCACTCACTACTCAGCCACTACTCAACCATTATTCATACGCTATTCAATTATCATTCTTATAAATGTTTGTATCTTAATTATTAATTAACTACATTTACGACTTATTCATTACTCACTCACAACACGTACATTTAATTCTCATTTACTACTTATCCCCTGGTTCGCTCACTCATTCACTAACCGTGAACTCGTTCACTCATAATTTATTACTTATTCATTCAATTCCCACCTGCTATGTTTACCACTCATGCGCTCACTGATTCAATACGCATTAATTCACTATTCATTCTCTCAATAACTCGTTCTTCATGTATTCATTAATTACTCTTTCACAAATCACTTGCATATTACTCATTTCTGACCCATTCACAAGTTACTAATTTTGCACTCATTCAGCAGTCATTTAACATCCACGTATTACTTATTTAATTATCATCTACTCATTGAGCCACCAACCGTCGGTCTCATTCATTTCTCATCCACTCACCATTCAACCTCTAAATTCACTCAGAATCGTTTTCTCATTCAGCATCCACTCGTGACTTATTCATTCTAAACTAATTCAACATTAATCTTTCATCATTACTCACTCACCAATCACTTCTTACTCTGGCATTAATCATTCATCAGTTAAATTCAGCATTCATTATTTAGCGTTTTCTATTTGAACAGTTCGTTGTGGAACGATGCAGGGATTCACTCATTAATATTTATATTGAAGCATGGAATTGCATGTGCAAGAATGAAAATAATCAGCGTCTTTGTGGGAAATATAACAAAATAAATCAACAGGCATACACCTCCTGCACATATTCTTCTCTCCAGATAAAATATAAAAGTTTTTATTTCAGTTTTTTACATAACCCATCAGCGGCACAGCATTCTGGGAGTGCATCATTTCAGCAGCATTAATTCAACACAAGCAAATTCTGGACCGGAGTCAGCATACAGGTGTCTCATCAGCAGTCCGGCTTGCTTGATACAATGTTGGTGAACTGCTGGATGTTACAAGCCTCACAGCTAATGGGTTGTGTAAAATACACTTGTTTTTTTATGCGGAGAGGTGGCTACATAAAAGACATTGCTTATTTTGTGTATTATTAGTGTGCATTTTATTTGTATCTCTTATGCACCGAGTATAATCCCTGCAGCCACTAGAGACACTACTTTAACGTTGTTAAAAAATATAAATTCTTGAATCACGACGATGGATTATGAGAATGCATCTCATCTCTATAGTTGGAGGGGATCATTTCACTCCCGCTCATCATCCACTCCGTCTAGTCATTCATTAATCAACATTATTCATGAATCATTCATCTGCTCATTTAGTCAAGATCATGTTTAAATATGAATTATTATTTGATCCAATTACGTTGACTAACTGCTTATCATTAACAAATTCAAACGTCATTAATTATTCCACATCAATCTTTAACTCCATATAATTTCACTCGTCATTCTCTCAATCATTCATCGTGCAATCAACAGCCATCCAGGGGGGAGACATCATGACGGGGGAGACAGGCAGAGGGACAGAGTAGACAGATAGAGGGACAGAGTAGACAGGCAGAGGGACAGGGAGACAGGCAGAGGGACAGGGAGACAGGCAGAGGGACAGGGAGACAGGCAGAGGGACAGGGAGACAGGCAGAGGGACAGGGAGACAGGCAGAGGGACAGGGAGACAGATAGAGGGACAGGGAGACAGGCAGAGGGACAGGGAGACAGGCAGAGGGACAGGGAGACAGGCAGAGGGACAGGGAGACAGGCAGAGGGACAGGGAGACAGGCAGAGGGACAGGGAGACAGGTAGAGGGACAGGGAGACAGGCAGAGGGACAGGGAGACAGATAGAGGGACAGGGAGACAGGCAGAGGGACAGGGAGACAGGCAGAGGGACAGGGAGACAGGCAGAGGGACAGGGAGACAGGCAGAGGGACAGGGAGACAGATAGAGGGACAGGGAGACAGACAGAGGGACAGGGAGACAGACAGAGGGACAGGGAGACAGACAGAGGGACAGGGAGACAGGCAGAGGGACAGGGAGACAGACAGAGGGACAGGGAGACAGACAGAGGGACAGGGAGACAGGCAGAGGGACAGGGAGACAGGCAGAGGGACAGGGAGACAGGCAGAGGGACAGGGAGACAGGCAGAGGGACAGGGAGACAGGCAGAGGGACAGGGAGACAGGCAGAGGGACAGGGAGACAGATAGAGGGACAGGGAGACAGGCAGAGGGACAGGGAGACAGGCAGAGGGACAGGGAGACAGGCAGAGGGACAGGGAGACAGGCAGAGGGACAGGGAGACTGGCAGAGGGACAGGGAGACAGGCAGAGGGACAGGGAGACAGGCAGAGGGACAGGGAGACAGGCAGAGGGACAGGGAGACAGGCAGAGGGACAGGGAGACAGGCAGAGGGACAGGAGACAGAGGGACAGGGAGACAGATAGAGGGACAGGGAGACAGGCAGAGGAACAGGGAGACAGGCAGAGGAACAGGGAGACAGGCAGAGGGACAGGGAGACAGGCAGAGGGACAGGGAGACAGGCAGAGGGACAGGGAGACAGACAGAGGGACAGGGAGACAGACAGAGGGACAGGGAGACAGGCAGAGGGACAGGGAGACAGGCAGAGGGACAGGGAGACAGGCAGAGGGACAGGGAGACAGACAGAGGGACAGGGAGACAGACAGAGGGACAGGGAGACAGATAGAGGGACAGGGAGACAGGCAGAGGGACAGGGAGACAGGCAGAGGGACAGGGAGACAGGCAGAGGGACAGGGAGACAGGCAGAGGGACAGGGAGACAGACAGAGGGACAGGGAGACAGACAGAGGGACAGGGAGACAGGCAGAGGGACAGGGAGACAGGCAGAGGGGCAGGGAGACAGGCAGAGGGGCAGGGAGACAGGCAGAGGGACAGGGAGACAGGCAGAGGGACAGGGAGACAGGCAGAGGGACAGGGAGACAGGCAGAGGGACAGGGAGACAGGCAGAGGGACAGGGAGACAGGCAGAGGGACAGGGAGACAGGCAGAGGGACAGGGAGACAGATAGAGGGACAGGGAGACAGGCAGAGGGACAGGGAGACAGGCAGAGGGACAGGGAGACAGGCAGAGGGACAGGGAGACAGGCAGAGGGACAGGGAGACAGGCAGAGGGACAGGGAGACAGGCAGAGGGACAGGGAGACAGGCAGAGGGACAGGGAGACAGGCAGAGGGACAGGGAGACAGGCAGAGGGACAGGGAGACAGACAGAGGGACAGGGAGACAGGCAGAGGGACAGGGAGACAGGCAGAGGGACAGGGAGACAGATAGAGGGACAGGGAGACAGGCAGAGGGACAGGGAGACAGGCAGAGGGACAGGGAGACAGGCAGAGGGACAGGGAGACAGGCAGAGGGACAGGGAGACAGGCAGAGGGACAGGGAGACAGATAGAGGGACAGGGAGACAGGCAGAGGGACAGGGAGACAGGCAGAGGGACAGGGAGACAGGCAGAGGGACAGGGAGACAGATAGGGGGACAGGGAGACAGGCAGAGGGACAGGGAGACAGGCAGAGGGACAGGGAGACAGATAGAGGGACAGGGAGACAGGCAGAGGGACAGGGAGACAGGCAGAGGGACAGGGAGACAGGCAGAGGGACAGGGAGACAGGCAGAGGGACAGGGAGACAGGCAGAGGGACAGGGAGACAGATAGAGGGACAGGGAGACAGGCAGAGGGACAGGGAGACAGGCAGAGGGACAGGGAGACAGGCAGAGGGACAGGGAGACAGATAGGGGACAGGGAGACAGATAGAGAGACAGGGAGACAGGCAGAGGGACAGGGAGACAGGCAGAGGGACAGGGAGACAGACAGAGGGACAGGGAGACAGATAGGGGGACAGGGAGACAGGCAGAGGGACAGGGAGACAGGCAGAGGGACAGGGAGACAGATAGAGGGACAGGGAGACAGGCAGAGGGACAGGGAGACAGGCAGAGGGACAGGGAGACAGATAGGGGGACAGGTGAGACAGGCACAGACCTGTGGAGCACTGGGCGTCACCATGGAGACGTGCAGAGCGGCGCAAAACGACGTGAGGGAGCTGGCGGAACGGCGGTCGAGCACAGAAAACATGGCGAAGACACCGCGAGAAAACTGCGAACAAACTACAAAGACACACCATCACCACCATCACCACCACCGTCACCACCGTCACCACCGTCACCACGTGTGTGTAATTACGTGGGCGTGCGTATCTACGGCATGCATGTCCCAGGAGTGCATGCCCGTACAGGCTTTGGTGAAGGTGAAGCTGTTGGGCAAGTCGATGGTATCCGTGTACACCGTGAGTCCGAAAGGAACATCGGACTCATTCAAGTTTGAGTTGTGCTGAAGAATCCCGAATCGGAACGCGCTGTGCTCCTGGTCCGATTGCCGCGTGAACAGCCCACCTAAGGGTACAAAGACAAATGATTGCAAACGTCGCTTCCCAAACCTTCCACTGTTTCTACAGGACAGCTGCCCAGCATAATGTTATAGGAGCCTCCTCCAAGAGGTCAATCTAACACCTCTGGGACCAATCAGTGGCAAGACCACTCAGCTTCAGGTTCTTTTGTACCACATTAGCCCATCAATTATTTTTATCCCCCCCCCCCCCCCCCCCTTATCCAGCCAAACATAAGCAGGCAAAGTTGCTTGACCATTACATGGCTGGGCTTGTGGGTTATATGATCCAGCTAATACATCCTTGATGGGACCATGCCCAGATCATTCAAGGAATTATGAACTCTTCATACAGTCTTGTCTGGTTAAACTTGTTGTCGATCAGTTTTAGCTCGCCAGCTGGAATTTTTAAGCCAGTGCAAGAATTCCACATCTCATAAGTATGAAGAGAGCACATTTTTCTGGCTGAGAAGACCTGGAGCTTCATGTTGAGCTACAGGCCAAGCAGTTTCCACACGGTAATAAGTAACCATTGAAAAAGATAACCCCCCTTGACTGATTGGAAGCAAAACCTCTGCTACTAAACCAGAACTGGCCATGAAAATATTGTTCAGGTATAAGAGTTCTTACAGCCTGTCTATCATCACCACATTATTCACGGAGTACTGCACTTATGTTGAATTCCTTTCTCACCGTACGAAGTCAACTATGTTAATTGGAGGTACGGCGGGAGGACAACATACTAAACACAAGAAGCAGTTCTAAAGAAATTAGTTTTCAATCTAGCTTTAAAAGGACATACCTCCAGTGTTCAGTGGGGTAAAGTGGTTGATGACACAAAGTAACCATGCAATTTTTTTGGTTTGGTGGGGCTGATAATAAGGCCCCAGCTCTAAGTGGAAAACTTCAGATTCAACAGTGTCACATACCGGGAAATTAAATTCGCTGTGAGAATCTGTAGTAAGGCAGAGTTGCTTATTTCTGTATTGGTGACAAATTTACTACTATGATGAGCCAAGAATGTCTGTCCCGCACGTGACGTCACTCCACGTCGACCAGCCCCCCTCATTAATAATCATGAATGGGTGACGTCCTCCACATGGACCCGCCCCTCATTAATAATAATTAGCAGGTGACGTCACTCAACATGGGGGGGAGAGGCGCCCCCCCCCCCCTTCTCGGCGTCAACTTAAAACCCTCTCCTCAGAACCCGCACGTCACGCGATCTCCATAACGCTGTTGAGACATCGAAGTAAAAAGGACGTCATGATGAACAAGGGATTATAACCTTTAAATGAAATGTCTGTGTCACGCAGCCTGACAAATTACACACAAATGGATGCAATGAATATCACGTCGCGGTCTGCTTTTCGCTTGCAACTTTCAGATTTACTGCAATACACCCGTCTTTGGATGGGCAATAGGCTTAATATTACTTAACAGGAGACCCTTGAAAATCGTTGGTTTATCATTCGTGGTTTCGACCTATCACGGGCAGACTATTTGTATACCAATTAAGCTATAGTATCGGGGGTTAGTTTTGGCCTTTTGTGGGTAAACTGTACCCATATGTACTGTATTATTGGCTAATACCATGATGCGGGCTGGGCAAGGGACACGAGGCAGTTAGTCACACCTCAACATTGCCATGCAAACATTTCGCGGACCCCGTATAGCCTATTAACAGACTGTTGGGGCAAGTGTTGTTAGCGAGCATCTATGAAGGCCGGCCTAGCACCGGACCGGGTGTATGGCCAGCACGTTTGTCTCTCACCAGGTACCCATTTACGGCTGAGTTGACCTAGGGGAGGTCCATGACCAGTTCAGATAATCCTCGGTGTTGGTCGTTAGTGGGAATTGAACTCGGGTCGCCGAGTTGGTAGCACCGCACGCTCGCTCAAAGGAATATTTTTGGCATAGGAATTTTACCTGCTTATTTTAATTATTTAGTTTTTAGTTTATCTGGCATATAGATCAGTAATAATTTCATTTGTGATGTGTCTATTTTTGATTTCCGTGTACCTAACCCCATCATTGACGTAAGGCTTAAGGATTGAATATCGTGGTTTTTGGCTTTCACGGCATTTTCCAAGAACATAACTCCCGCTATATTCAAGTGTCACCTGTACAGCAAAACACTTCTCTCAACAAATAGGCAAAAATCTCGATATGCAAATAATAGTGGTGTTATGAACCTATCCCACTCCTTGGGTTCTTCAAGCCATTTTCCTGAACATGTTTTTTTTTATATTCCATTGAAGCATTCTACCAATCCAATTTAACTTTGGATTGTACGGTGTCGTCCACAATTGTCGTACTGACAACAGTTGCCCTACCTCCTCCGTGAACTTCGATGTAAATTGTGTTCCTCTGTTGCTCAGCATCTCAGTTGGTATGCCAAAACATGAGAAAATGTACACTAATGCCCCTGCAACTTCTGTTTTAATGGTTGTGAGTGACGCTGCCTTGGGATACCATGTGGCATAATCCACCAGAGTTAATATGTATCCGTATCCCCTTGTAGATACTCGTGTGGCACATTAGGAATGGATCACTCTTTTAATTATATCCTTGTGCAGCAAGGGAGTAAAGTGTGGTTCTGTGAAAGTCCTGATGTGCTGTGCAGTGCATCAATGCATGTGTGTACAGCAGCATGTAATGTCTGAGTCGGGCCTGTAGGTGGCTGGCAGGGTTAATGAATAACCGCATGTGTGACACGTGCTGTTGCATTTTACAGGTAAAGGTTGTTTTTGATCGTTATATAAATGTTCTATACTTGTTCTAGACTTTAAGCTTGGCTTTGAATTGTTTGTTTGTGATATATGCAATTAGAGGCGTTTTAGCACTGTGCATTGTAAATGGATGACACTGTAATTAGTTACTGTCATTGTAATTCTATAACTCAACTACTGTTTAGTCTATAACCATGCCCATGTACCCAGAGTATGACTACTTGCAATGCTATTGAGAATAGAACACATGTAAAGTAGTAAGCTGTACAATGGTGATATACAGTACGTATACTGTACACATACAGTACACACATGCATTGATGTAAGATACCGATATAAGTGGATGGTATAGATAGACATACAGCTTAGGATTAAAGTAATATTCGAATAGTGATGTGCAAATGTGATTGTCAAAGACAAAGATGGTTTATCAGTAGTAGAATTGGGTTTAAGAGAAAATGGATGAGAATTGTTTTATTATGTTTTATTTCTATTATTTTATTACTTCCCTTCTACGTGACTTTACCGAAAGAACCAAGAAGATGAATCCCTGCAGTCACGAAAGCTTTAAATCGAAATTTAAGAGAAAGGGTTAATGAATAACTGCACTTGGACACCAGCCACATGGTTAATGGCGACTCGGAATAATTGCTGCGTGTAACACGTGTTGTTGCATTTTACAGAGTGCCGGTGCTGTTCTTCACAAGATTCATATGAACCACAATAAATAAATGTGCTTGCCCTCGATTTGGAGCACCTGCCTACGTCCTTCATTTCGAGTGTGCAACACTCGTAATGGACTAATTAAATCTACTGCAACACTTTGAAAAGTTACGTCTACAAAAGACATTTGTCCCAATGGAATATTCAGTTCCCACCCCTTTGCAATTGTCTATTGACATATTACACGATTGATAGAATATGCACACATTCCAATTCACACCTGGCCAATAAAACTGAGATGACACTTTTCTAAGCGTCGGCTTAATTCCCAAATGTCCTCCCATCAATGAATCATGCGCAAGCTGCAACACTTTCTTTTGCATGGTCCGAGGCAGAATTAACTGCTTCAATTTTCTACCTTTATCAATCTTTGGAAATTGAATTGAAATTCCCGATAAATTAATCTTCGCCACAATCATTTTTCCCTTGTGTACTTTTTAATCAGTGGCATCTTTGCACAGATCTTTCAAACTTGGGTCCTATTGTTGTGCCTCTATTAGTTCAGCGTCACTTATTCCTTGAATTGGTACGCATTTATTTTAATTGGATTAATTGCTTCTTTACCACAGATTTCTGCTGCTCGTGGTCACCGCATTGACTACCTCATATCTTTGTCACCCATTTTCCTCTGTGGGTATATAAACTTTTTTTGCTCTGGTACTTTATTGCAAGACTCCTCTGTACATTCCCATCCCAGCAACAGTTCAATTTCGATTTAAAGCTTTCGTGACTGCAGGGATTCATCTTCTTGGTTCTTTCGGTAAAGTCACGTAGAAGGGAAATAATAAAATAATAAAAATAAAACATAATAAAATGCAATTCTCACAACGTTTCGGCCACAACGCAAGGACGGCTGCTTGCGTTGTGGCCGAAACGTTGTGAGAATTGTATTTTATTATGTTTTATTTTTATTATTTTATTATTTCCCTTCTACGTGACTTTACTGAAAGAACCAAGAAGAGCAACAGTTCAGTTTGCATTCTGGGTACACATTCTCTCTGAAATCACGTAATTATAATCCTTGATTACGATATTATAGTGTTTAATGTCTTCTAGCTTGATGGCTCTTGTTATGTTGCCTACCACTATGTAGTAAAGCGAAGTGTCAATGCACATCGCATGGACCGTTCCGGTGAAGGATGGACATTCTTGTTCAATTTTGACAATGGGACATTTCCGCATAGTTCCATCTCTTACGAAAAACGTGCATCAATTGTGGATCACAAAGCAGTCCTCTTTTGATCACTATGTCAGTGCAGCCTGCATCTCTCATGACTGTAACACACTGTTTTCCCTTGGAACCAGTAACAAATCTTGACTTTGTGGGTACGTTTGTTACAACAGCACATATTCCACCACCTGATACTGTCGTCACCACATCCAATTCCACTGCTTGATGTATTGCCTCTGCTGGCATTACAGGCTGACTGACATCCTGCTTTCGCATGAGTCTCCTTTTTTAATCGAACACATTCACTCTTTTAATGTGGAGTTTCTTTGTTTAGAGTTTATTCCCAATTTTTTCTCCTCCCACAGTCTCTTCCCAGATGTCC